GTGGTGATCAATTTGGACCGCCACTTGTTTGTGTGATTGACGACAATCCGACCGTTGGATCATAATGAAACTTTAGTATGTTCTTCTCGAAGTATAATGTGGACTTTGGGAAGTTATGGATCATAAATCTGATTTGCGGATCATTGTGGACCCCATTGTTGACCGAGAGTTGAATTGTGGTCAACATGTCTCGGAACGTTCTAAATAATAAAATTAATATTATGGGAGACTTAAGTGAAGTCTAGTGGGCCTACATTGGTTAGAGAGTGACTTGAACATATGTGATATGGTTATTACCTTGATTTCTTATATTGGTATCATATGTGAATTTGACTTAGTCTTATAATGTGATTCTATTTAAATGTGATTATATATATATATATATATTTATTTAGCCATAGACCTATGTTTATTAAACATGATTTGGCTTGTGTACTGATGATGATCGTAATATGTGATTTGACGTGCATATTCGAAAGGTGGTTGATTTACATAGATGATATGATATGATGAAATGTGAGTGACTTTAATATATGTGAATATGAAATGGTTTTATAATCATTTTTCCTATAAATTGTTAATTTTTATATTTAGCCAATGATGTAGTTATATGAAGTGGGATTTGATGTGCATATTGGAAATATGGTTTATTTTGTATGATTGGCTTGATTTGATGATGGTGAGGGCTAGTGGTGGACCGTTAACCCATTGTCATGGGGTTTGTTACTTTGAAACATGTGTCAATGCTCATTTTATTATTTCATTTCTTGTTTCGTTGAGCCTTTATAACTTGAGTAACTTGATTCATGTGTTGTTTTATTGATTGGTGGTTATGCAATGTACTCCGCGATTCCGTTGAGTGATGGCCCGGAATCGTATCCTGGTTTGGATTTCGTTGAGTGATGGTCCAGAATCCTTCATACTCCACCTGCGATTCCGTTGAGTGATGGTCAGGAATCGTATCTTGGTTTGGGTTTCGTTGAGTGATGGTCCGGAATCCCTCTTACTCCGCGATCCCGTTGAGTGATGATCCGAGATTGTATCCACCTTAGTTCATTGAGTTTAGTTTGAGATGGTTGCAAAGGTGTAGGCTTTGGATGAACTGTGTCGCCCTAATTCTACTTTCATTGTGTGTATGTGAATATGGGTGTGAGATGTTATGGTTGTTTGAAATGAACTTTTGGATGTCTAGGTGACTCCCTTGGAGTTTTCAAAAGTTTAGTATTGATTTCTTATGAAAGATTTATATTCAAGGTTTATAAATTGTGATTGATGGCTGATTTTATTATTGTATCACATGTTTATTTTATTGTCCCTCAAGGTTTATAAATTGTGATTGATGGCTGGTTTTATTATCGTATCACATGCTTATTTTATTGTCCCTCACCCAAGCCTCTCAGCTTATCTGAGTGCCTGATTTGCCAGTGCACCAATTCCATAATATTGGCATTGACTTTACATATGACAGGTCTGAGTAGATTATGAGAAACCGCTTGATATTTTGGTTCCGTTGAGTGGTCCGGAACCCAATGTTGTTGGATTCTGTTGAGTGGTCCGGAATCCTTTCTCTTGTTCATTCCGTAAGGTGATCTTATAATCCTAAATTCGAGTAGATGGGAATTACCCACAATAGATATTGTGAAAATAAATTAGAATTACCATGTTATTAGTCATAACCCAAGTTGGGAATTATGTAGAGTTCTTTAATTAAATTCGTGAAATAATATGTTATCTCACTGATTGATTAACGTAATGAAATATTAATATTGTGCTTCGTGATTCCTTGATATGTTACAAGCTTTGTATTGAGATATAATGTTGGAAGCATAGTGATTGGTATGATGAAGTGAAATGTGATTTGACTTGTGTATTGGAAATGGTTGTGATATGTGATTGAAATGCATATTAAATTGCTTGGGAGATATAAGGTCTAGTAATTGACCGATAACCCATTGTGATGTGGATTTGTGCTCGATATTGCTTTGTTTCGTTGAGTTTTCGTGAATTGGGTAACTTGAATCATGTCTTGTTCCTTCGAGCCGTTGTTATACTTTTTGGACTTCCGTTCAATTCGGTTGGGTGGTCTGAAACTGAGTTCTGCTTGGATTCCGTTGAGTGATGGTCCGGAATCCCCTTTGGTGCCTTGGTCCGTTGGGTGGTCCAAAATCCCTTTTTCCAAAGATGTAGTCTTCAACCGAATTGTGTTGCTCTAGCCTTGCGTTTCGACATGTTGTATGTGTTATTGATGATGTGATGGTTGGCATTATTGATTGATGTGATTATGGAATGACTTTGGATATGAGTGTGGTTATCATGAGTATTTTAGTTGATTAATATTTCTAGAGAATAATGTGTACTTTGTTAATTCTTAACTATGTTACACACTATGAAATGCAATTTTATGTGGGAACGTGATGAATTATGTAATGGATGAAGTGGAAATGTTAATCGTCATGTGGGATTGTTATGTTGGATATCATTGTTATTGTTATGATTAGACTTGTTGATAAATGTGGCTAGAGAATGGTATTGTGCTTCGTTGGTTCTTTGAAAGGATATATATTGTGAATTGTGGTATCATGTTGCGACTTAATGACCTATATATTGATGGAGGGGAATTCATGATTTTCAAGTGGGTTCGTTATGTAACCCTGAGTCTAATAATTTCATGCTTGTCAAGTTTTATTAATTGATTGAGAAATGTTATACCTTTCGACTTAATCAGACGGTGTTATATGTCAATTATTGTGCATGACGAACTACGAATGGCTTGATCCCTGTCTAGGGTACGTAGGCAGTCTAACAGGGAGGTTAGATGCAGCCATAATGTATACGAAAAATAACTATGCGATTCGATTATTGAGTTGTGCTTGCACATATCCCGGAGGTGGGGTATGATAGATACGGATTTTTGGTAACATCACGTGTCAATTCTGCACGTATGTCGGGATTGGAGCGTGACATCATAAATATGAACGATATTAATATTGTCTTTTATTTAAAAGGATTTGATTGTCCACATTTTTTGGAACCTTTTGCCATTTTAAATTTCATTCCTCTCATTTACAATTCCTGATTTCGCCACTCATCAATACTACAAAAAAAAAAAAAAACACAACAATATTATGAATAAGGATGCGAGCTAAGGAGTCAAAAGAAAAGGGTACTAAATGTAAAATTTCACATTTTCAAGAAGGCGACAATCAATAAACTCATTGTAATGAACAAAAAGTTTTATTTCATTTATTTTGACGAAGTTTTATTTCATTAGTCTATCACATTTTTGGTATTATAAACTTATTCACATTGAAATACAAAATGTAGAAAATGATATCATGATATTTGAAAAATATTAAATTTTATCATGATTCTTGAGGCATCTTTCCTCTGCGAACCTGGCTGGTGTTGAAGCTCGAATGGAAGCAAGTCGTAAAAGAATATCGAAACTAGCCTTGATAAATACAAATGTGAAATAAAAAATTTAACTTTGTATGTCTCTCATAACGCATCTTAATTAAAAAAAGATGTCACACGTATGAGTACGTGCATGAAGGTTGTATATAGTCCCCACCAAAACTCCTCCTTGTGAAATCTCTCTTTCCACCTCACTCTCCTCTCTCTCCTTACCAATATTTTTCACTGAAATATTGATCGAGGTATTTACTGAAAGGAACGATGGGTGATCTGGGAGGAAAAGTGGAAGGAAGTCAAAGTTTTTCATGGCTATTCATGAAGAATCATGTTTGAATTCATAGCTAGTAGCTAAAAACCTAAGAACAATACTTTTGTTTGTATTCCATTTTTGTGCACATTTTAGTTTCCTCTAACATCCTAACAAGTGCCGTCAAAAAAATTGCGCGTCTTATGCGATACTATTGTCTAAAAGTCTCATGATAATTGATTTTTTTTTTTTTGTCGAAACATGATAATTGAATTGATAAACATTTAAACACAATGCAAGTTGTCATCTCATATTTCTAGACATTTGAAGAAAAATAAAAGTTTAAATAACCTTTAATATTTATTTTCAATTTCGTATGATAAATGCGTGACTGTTTTGGTAGGGAAATTGTACACAAATGTTCATGGTTTTGCCATTTCAAATTGGAAATGGGTATTTTATGAAATATTACTTCATAAAATATCCATTTATTCAAGGCAGATGTATTCTAATTTTTACCAAGTGTTTTTAACGAAATAAATTTAAATAAATATGCAAGTGTGGCATTAAAATTTGAAAATAGATCCAAAGATTTGAATGACACCCCATATTTAATCTGTATATTTGATTCACATGCTCATTTTTATTTTTCACACACTCTGGTTAATTTTTTGTTATTTATCTTTTTCAATTAATTTGATCTGATAGTCAAAAATTGAAAATGGTGTGTGAGAAATAAAAATGAATGTGTGGATATTAACTCAACCTTTTAGGTTAAGTTTCATTGAAAATATAGCTAAACTAAGAGTTAGTTAACCATTGACTTAGATTTAAACTAATTGGTAATAAGTAGAATGGTAAGCAGCCACCCCTTGAAGATAGTGAGAATTACCACCACTAAGAGTGGTGAATAAAAATACACTCTAAAATTTCTAGTAATTTGCATTTCCTCATCTAAAATGTTAGTGAATTCCCTTTTCTCCACACGGTCTCAAGAATATTCATCGGCCCCTTACCTTTACAAAAAGTTTTCCCGTTTGCGCAAAACATAGAAATGTACTTCCCATGTTATTACACCCAAAGTTTTTAATTTATCATTCTAATTATATAATGATATGATGATATGTGGTATTGATCGTGGTTTGAACATATTAAAAAAAATCTCTCATGACGAGAGTTTAATTTAAAATTTATTTTTCAATGTAACCGAAATACAGAATAATACATTATATATCATTATATAATTAGTAAAATATTTGTGTTAAAATATTAATAACTTAAAAAATAACGTACTCTATCACTTGTATAAAGGTGCACTTCACAGTAAAAAATTTCTCGAGTTCCAGACCAAAAAGTTTTGTTATGAAAAGCCGAGCTGCTGGCGAGCGAACCAAAAAATTCCATCCGCTCCGGTGAAACAAGCAAACTGATGAATCGGGATCATCCAGCAGTGAAGGTGAAAGTTGATATGAAGGTTAGTTACTTATTGAGTCTGATTCTCTATGGGTTTCCTCGTGCAACATCCTAGATTATTTTCTGTTGTTGAGAGTCGAAGAATTTAAAGCGATAATTTCAATTAATCACAAAGCAAAATGGTTGACCAACAAATTTCAATCACAACTTGGTGAAAGTTGTGAAATTGGTTAAAGTAATTGCAGTAACCAACTGAAATACTAGTTGTATAGCACTGAACTTGTACTTCAGGGATGATGTAGCCATTGAATTTTATGGTATCGAATTGATGTTATGCGTGCAAGCTTCCGGCAACCCCGAGCTAGCGCTCCCCGCTTTGCAATGGGTGGAAATGTCTATCTTACGCAGTCTTATCCTTACTTTGTAACGAAGCTGCTTCCAAGACTCAAAGACGTTACCTTTCGGTCACAAAGGAGCAACCTTTATGTTGCGCCAAGAAAAAGTTATGGAATGCGAACTACAAGAAAGTGTGTCAAAATGTGTGTCCCCCTTGATCTGAACCATATGTATGTGAATACTTTAGTTGATGGATCTGTCAAATAAGCTTATTTGAGGGATGCTATTGTAGGTCTTACTCCACATTATATTTCAAACAAATCAACCGTTTTCTACCAACAATTACTCAAATCATAAACCATATGAGGATTAAATGGTAGGCATTTTAGTGTTCCTTTGACCAAAGGAAAAACTCTCAGAGATTAATTAATTGGTTCTTTAGTTAGAGAAAGATTACAGTCAGTTCTCTTCTTATTTTCTTATGACGAATACCACATTGTTTGTTGTTGCTTGACTACTCCTCCAATATTTTGTGGTGTATAACGAACCTAGAAGGGTTTTTAGTGTCATCCTGGCTCTGCTTCTTCGGCCTCTTGTCTTGTACTCAAGTGTGTGTGTGTGTGTGTGTGTGTTGCTTAGGAGTTAAAGAAACTTATGTTGGCTAAGTATAGTATATACCCTAGTTTAAGATATTTTGCAAGTGTTATATTATTTTAACTAATTTTTTTCTTACACATATTGCTTGTTATAAATTGTAACACATATTGCTTGTTATAAGTTTTAACGGAGGACTTGGCACAAAACTAAAGGCAGTGGCGTCTAGGATTCATATAGCCGACCCCACCTAATGGGAAAAGGCTTTGTTGTTGTTGTTAGTAAATAATTCTTTTGGTAGTTTATATATCAAAAGAAGTAGAATGCCAGGATAATCCCAACAAAATTAGTAAGTCAAAGCCATCCTGTGAGATGGAACTTATCATCAAGATTCATAAAAAAATATTTTGGCTTCATCAGAGATTGTATTCTGATGATACTGTGGATGATGATACAAGGGACAGGTGGTATGAGTTGGAGGCAAGTTACCTCAATAAACGGAACACATGCGTAAATGCAGTCAAAGGGTGTGCCATTTGTGGCATCTAGGATGGATGAGACCAGAAAGCCAAGAGGTGATCGAGATGCTTAGGGTCCTTCCTGGAGTCGAAGAGAAGATGAGCATACTTGTTATCTTCCAAATTTTATGCAAGAATAACATAGTGGTATTCATGGCCTATAATGATCCTGATGTTCAGATTGATTGGCTTAAGAAATTACGGAGCGAATGCCTCTAGTAGTTGTTCTCCTTTTGCTGTACCTATTGAATGACGTCTTCTATAGTAATTTAGCATCGCTTGTGTTTCATAAGAGTTGCATTAATTACGATGATAATTCTTAGGTGTTTCTGTTGTCAAACTCAGATTGATGATGCAGCTGCAGTGTTGCTTGGGTCTGTTTTCTGATTCTCTTTTATAAGAAAAAGTATACTATGTTCCACCTCTTGAGAGTGCCTTATAATTACAAATTATTAATATTCTTACAGCTGTGCCGTCCATTAGAAATGATTGTGTCATGGTGAATACTGTGATGATACTGATGATGTACTTGTTTGGTATTTTTGAAGTTGGTAGACTTCGGCAGCGTGAGGGGTAATTTCTAAGGTGGCTAGTATGCTGTTGGCTACACTGGGAACAGTCTCTTGATTATGCATTTGTATGGAAGCTAATGTTTTGTTTGTTTAAATTTCAGAAAGATATGCCTAGAACAGGTGAAGCCACTTCATCCAATCCCAGGGTTTCACATGATGAGGAAGTGGCTAGGGTTCTTCAAGCCATGAAGAAAATGGCTGACCTTGCGCTTGAAGGTACATCCGAAGTAAATCGGAGGCTGAAATTTTTGAAGGTTTTCATTAGTCTGTCACCCCCGCAGTATGCAGGAAATCCTGATGAACTGTTAGAAGGGGTGGAGTGGCTCAAAAGGATAAAGCAATGTTTTCATGTAAGTGATGTCCCCGAAGACTTAAAAGTTGGGTTTGCCACATACTGTCTTACTGGACCGGCGCACTGCTGGTGGGAATTTGTGAAAAGGAGACGTGATGTTAAATCCATCACTTGGGCAGAATTTGAGGAGCTGTTTTTGAATAACTATTTTCCTGAGACTACTAGGGCGGCTAAATACGATGAATTTCTAGGGTTAACCCAACAAAACATGACTATTGCTCAATTGTCATCTAAGTTACTTGAGCTATCATGGTATGCACAACCTAATCTTTTGAGTTACGATAAATATAAAGCATGGAAGTTTCTAAGGGCACTGAGGCCTTCCATAAAAACTAGGGTAGCTCAATTCAGTACTTATGATGACATTGTCGAAGCGGCGTTGAGAGTGGAACAATCTTTTGAGGACAGCGAGGAAGAGTCGTTTGAGGAAGCTTCTGGTGTAGGGGAAAAAAGGCCAAGAAAGCAGTACATTTGCCATCACTGCGGCGAGCCTGGTCATATTCGGCCTAAGTGCCCGGAATTAAACTCGCGTGCTTTTTGAAAGTTTTATCAAAGTCTCATCCTAACGATGGAAGGCAAAAATTGTTTCAACTCCAAGCTAATAGTGTATGGATAATAGTTTGTAGACCTTCGATATGCCTGGCTTTTGTATTGGTATGTATCTGTCCGTCTGACTTTTCTTCCTTTGGACCTTTGTGAATAGCGAATCTGTTTTGTAGAGGTTAAAGTGACGTTAGTTGTTAATCAATGGAATCCCAATTATATATATATTAGCCTTCATGTACGGGCGTTTATATATATATATATACTAGTCTTCATGCACGTGCATCACTAATCAATGGAATCCCAATTATATATTTACTAGATTTCATGCACGCGAGTTTATATATATACTAGCCTTCATGTACGTGCTCACGCGCGTGCAGAAGGTATTTTTTGAATCACAATGTGCTAAGCGCAACTTATACATTTTAAATGTATTTGTATACGTAAATTAACAAAAGAAAAGTCAAATATTTGAAGTAAATGAATAATCTTAGATCATGCTAGAAGAAACCCCTTATAAACCAATTAAAGCAATTGAATTCGCATAATAAAATCGGTCTTTATAGAATTTACATTAAGAATAGAGAAAATAATATTTAATAAACAAATGATTGAATCACATTATTGCTAGCTCATTGTGAGGCTAAGCCCACCATCTCCCCCTTAGTATAGATAATATCATTTGTTTTAAAAAAAAAATTGATAATTAATTTAATCACATTATTATCTGCGTACAAAAGACTTTTTTTATAACCGGCATTTAATAAACAACTGATTTAATCACATTTTTACTAGCCCATTGTGAGGCTAAACTCATCCCCTCCACCTTAGTGCATAGGATTTCGTTGTTAAAAAAAAAACAATCATTTGACAACTAATTTTAATCACAATATTATCTGCGTGCGAAAGACCTTTTTTATAACCGACATTACATGCATCTTAAGATGTTTTGAACGTGTTTAAAAATAAAGAAAATAATATTTAATAAACATTGAATCACATTATTGTTAACCTATTGTGAGACTAAGCTCATCCCCTCCCCCTTAGTGTAGATAATATCATTTGTTAAAAAAAAAAAAAAATCATTTGACAACTAATTTAATCACATTATTATTCGTGTGCGAAAGACTTTTTTTTTATAACTTGCATTACACGCCTCTTAAGATATTTTGAACATAGTTAAAATAGAGAAAATAATATTTAATAAACAATTGATTAAATCACATTATTGCTAGCCCATTATGAGGCTAAGCCCACTCTCTCCACCTTAGTGCAGATAATATCGTTGTTAAAAAAAAAAAACAATCATTTAACAACTAATTTAATCACAATATTATCTGCGTGCGAAAGACTTTTTTTATAACCGACATTACACGCATCTTAAGATGTTTTGAACGTGTTTAAAAATAGAGAAAATAATATTTAATAAATAACTGATTGAATCATATTATTGCTAGCCTATTACGAGACTAAGCTCACCCCCTCCCCCTTAGTATAGATAATATCATTTGTTTAAAAAAAAAAAAATCATTTGACAACTAATTTAATCACATTATTATTCATGTGCGAAATACTTTTTTTTATAACCGCCATTACACGCCTCTTAAGATGTTTTGAACGTGTTTAAAATAGAGAAAATAATATTTAATAAACAACTGATTGAATCACATTATTGCTAACACATTGTGAGGCTAAACCCACCCCCTCCCCCTTAGTGTAGATAATACCGTTTGTTAAAAAAAAAAACAATCATTTGACAACTAATTTAATCACATTATTATCCGTGTGCAAATGACATTTTTTATAACCGGCATTACACGCCTCTTAAGATGTTTTGAACGTATAAAAAAAACAATTGTTTGACAATTAATTTAATCACATTATTATCCACGTGCGAATGACCTTTTTTTTATAACCAGCATTACATGCCTCTTAAGACTTTTTGAACGTATTTAAAAAATAGAGAAATTGAATCACATTATTGTTAGCCCATTGTGAGGTACTAATTATAAAATAAAAAATAAAAATAAAAATAAACACTCATGCACACAAAAACAAAATTTAATTATTAAAAAATACTATTAAAATAACGAAAATGCCCTTGCCTTATTTGATGCATTATTTTGGGATGCTTTTGAAGTTTTTTGTTTTGAGGGTATTTTTGTCCAATTATTTTTGTTGAAGCTTGGTGACATCAAAATACTATTCACCTTTTCTTCTCTTTTTATATATAATAGATATCTATGTAGGGTTTTTTTTGGTTTTGGGAAACATATATATAGGGTTTAAGATTTAGAGACACACACTTTTGACATACATTTTAATACATATTTTGTAGTGCTCACTTTGTAATGTATTTTAACAATTCGAACCGTTGTCATTTGTAGATGGTTCTAACAAAAAATTAGACATTCAAAACCATTAAAACATTCGTTTGTAGGGAAGAAAATGGATGAATATGGTTCTACTAAGAAACACTAAATTTATTTCAACGATCATATAGTTTTGAATTTGGGTGATTTTTAGTAGACAATGATCTTTGAGGTATGATATAAAAGATAGACAGTTGAATCGTTAAAATATATTATGAAGTGGATCCCACAAAAATGTATGTCTAAAGCATGTGTCCCCGAATCTTATATATATACACACACACATATACATACCCTTTATGCAAAGGGATTCTTATTTTTTTCAAAAAATGGGGATTAGATATGAGGTTCACTCCACATCGGACTTCAACGATTCGAATCATCTATTTTGTAAATCTCGATTTAAAGATCATTCTTGTATAAATTCAATTCAACCCGAACCTATCTGCCTATTTAATTATCAAAATAAAATTTCATTGTTTCTTATATAATAATATTCGTTAATTTTTTTTAACCCAATTAGATGTCTTAAATATTTCATTTTTAGCTAATATTTTGTAAGGGTGATCTACGAGGTGCAACTTGAAAAATAGACGGTTCAGATCGTTACAGTTCAATATGGTGTGAACCCCTCAACTAATCCTTATTTTTATAAATAAAAAAAATAAAGGCCCTTTCCTTAAAGGCTTCCTCTATTTATATCTATAGAGAACAAATCCGTGTAACATCCCACATCGTTCAAGGGAGTGGATCATGTAAGTCTTATATGTATATTCTCATATCTACCTAGCACGATGCCTTTTGGGAGCTCACTGGCTTCGAGTTTCGTAAGAACTCCGAACTTAAGTGAGTACGCGCGAGAGTACTCCTATGATGGGTGACCTACTTGGAAGTTCTTGTAAGAGTTCCCAGAAACAAAACTGTGAGGGCATGGTCGGGGCCCAAAACAGACAATATCGTGCTACGGTGGAGTCGAGCCAGGGATGTGGTGGGAGTCTGGACCGGGATGTGACAATTTGGTATCAGAGCCAATCCCTGACCAGATGTATGCCGACGAGGACGTCGGGCCCCTAAGGGGGGTGGATTGTAACATCCCACATTATTCAGAGAAGTGGATTATGTAAGCCTTATATGTATATTTCCATCTCTACTTAGCACGAGGCCTTTTGTGAGCTCACTGGTTTCGGGTTCCATAGGAACTCTGAAGTTAAGTGAGTTCGCGCGAGAGTACTCCCATGATGGGTGACCCACTTGGAAGTTCTCGTGTGAGTTCCCAAAAACAAAACCGTGAGGGCGTGGTCGGGGCCCAAAACGGATAATATCGTGCTACGGTAAGCGGACAATATTGTGCTACAGTGGGGGCCTGAACCGGGATGTGACAATTTGGTATCAAAACCAATCTCTGGCCGAATGTGTGCCGACGAGGACGTCGGGCCTTAAGGGGGTGAATTGTAACATCCACATCGCCCAGAGGAGTAGATCCTGTAAGCCTTATATGTATATTCCCATCTCTACCTAACACGAGACCTTTTGTGAGCTCACTGGCTTCGGATTCCGTAGGAACTCTGAAGTTAAGCGAGTTCGTGCGAGAGTACTCCCATGATAGGTGACCCACTTGGAAGTTCTAGTGTGAGTTCCCAAACAAAACCGTGAGGGCGTGGTCTGGGTCCAAAACGGATAATATCATGCTACGGTAAGCGGACAATATTGTGCTACAGTGGAGTCGAGCCCGGGATGTGATGGAAGCCTGGACAGAGATGTGACATCCGTGACACCACGTTTATGACATGATATTTGGCACGAGTTTTGAACCATTCGATTAGCCCGCTTGTAATGATTGAGATGTAGTCTATAATTTATTTGGCATAACTTTTCCAAAAAATAAAGCATTTGAATTAAAAATCCGAAAGCATTCTATTTATAACATCTTTTTCAAAAACAATCCACTTACTTTCCTACCTTTTCGTCTTCATCCTCTCCTACGAACTTCTCTTTTCGTGTTCATCCGCTCTTATTTGATTGAAAAGAAATAAGAGAATGAAACTTATTCTGAAACTTCTCCCCCAATGAAATTTTTCGTCTTCATCCGCTCTTATTTTTTTGTCCCACCTTTTTTCTTTTCATTCTCTTATTGCTTCCTAAACCCCTTTTTTTTCCACACAAAGCTTCGTACCCCATGGAACTCATCATCACTGCTATGGTGCTTTGATTATTCCTTCAATTTTCACACCAGTTTATATTATTTTGTAGCCATGGAAGTTATGTATGATTCTTCCTATACTGTTAATAAAACACCAAACTAGCTTAGACTATAACTCTTAACTACCAAATCCGGTGAAAGTCTAAACTAGAGCAGACCATTAAGATGATGGACACGGAAAAAATGAGAATGAAACATAATTTAATGAAAATAACTAATGATAGATGACGGAGAAAGAAAATTATAATTATAAAAGTTTTATTTGCAAACGACCCTTTACCTCAGTGGTGGAAAGGTGTTGAGTCATTGTATGACGGTGTGAATTCAAACCTCGTTAATGCTAATCTAACAAAATTTATCGTTTGACAAAAAAAAAATTATTTATATTTATTATTCGAACTTCGGTGCAAAGGATGGAGCACACTCTTGCCAACTTGACTAAACTTAGGTCTACAGAATCTCAATATTGTATTAAGGGTAAACTGTTGTTTGACCCAATGACAATCCTGGTCGTGAAATGGTTGCTTTAAGTAGTTTGGAATCTAATGAATCATACTCATTGAGTGCCATTGAGTGATTTTGGAATCCTATGCTTTTATGTAAGAATGTACTATGATAAATGTCAAGTATAATGAAAGGTGAACTATGAATGGCTTGATCCCATCTTAAGGTATGTAGGCAGTCTAACAAAGAGGTTAGATGCAACCATGAAATAAAGGATAAGTTATTGCGCTGTTGAACCATTTATTTGTGTCCTTGGTCATGTCTCGGAGGCGAAGCATGATAGATCTTCAGGTACTTGATGACATTATGTGTCGATTCTGGAAGTATCTTGGAATCGAGGTGTGATAGAAGTCCCCTTCTACAATTTGACCTTGCTCAGGAGTTGTTTGCTGCAATTTGTTTTGTGCGAATTGATTCAATTTGTTTGTTTTTAGTTTTTAAGGCCCATGCAATGGTTTCTATTGTTTTGCCGTTGTTGACCACTGCAAGAATTGTAAGTGTTTGAATTGGTGACCACTTGAGTGACGTTGTGTACATGGTGAATTGAATTTTTTTTGTTCGTTTCGCCTAATTTTATCATCAAGATTTTGATTGTGTGGACCTCATGAATCTTCTGATTCAACCTGACAATTTTATTCATCATATGAAGATGCATAATGAGTTTTCATCATTGAAAGGAATTAGTGATCTTTCAAAGGAATTGGTGAAGACCAAGAGGTGTGAAAACTACAAGTTAGTGCATAAATTCCTTACATTGGGCTTTGGTGTTACCGGTTGCAACCACTTCGGTGGAGAGAGCGTTTGTTGCTATGAAAATTGTGATAAAATAGAGATCAATGATTAAGTGATAGCATGGTTATTTATAATGAGCAGCATGTTTTTATTTTTATTGATAATGAGCGTATTGTGCTATGTTTTTATGACATGAAACTTCGGTGCAACAATTAATTTTTTTATGTGGTAAATTATGAACAAAATAATATTGTTTATTATCTAAAAGGATTTAGTTGTCTTCATTTTTTGAAATCTTTTTACCTTTTTTAATTTCATTCCTCCATTCAACAATTCTTGACTTCGCCATTCGTCAAGATTACAAAAGGCACATCAATATTCTGAGTAAGGAGATCAAAAGAAAAGGGTAGTAAATGTAAGATATCACATTTTGAACAAGGCGACAATCAATAAACTCATTGCAATGGACGAAATTTTTTATTTTGACGAAGTTTTGTTTCATTAGTCTATCACACTTTTGTCATTTTAAACTTATACATGGATGTCTCTATAAAATATCTCTTTAATTCACGTTGAAAGACAAAAGGTAGAAAAATGTTATTCATGTCAAAATTTAGCTTGAGACATCTTCGCTCAGCAAACCTGGCTGCTATTGAAGCCCGAATGTAAGTAAGCCGACAACGAATTTCGAAACTAAACTTGATAAATACATATGTGAAAAATAATATAGAATTTTGTATGTCGCTCATAGCATGTCTTGATTAAAAAAATAAGAGAAAAAAGCTTGCATGTGTATGATTGCGTGCATGAATGATGTATATATAGTCCCTCCAAAACTCTTTCATGTGAAATCTCTCTTCGCCTCTCTCTACTCTCTCCTTACTAATATTTTTCACTGAAATCTTGACGGAGTTATTTATTGAGAGGAACACTTGTACACAAAAAAAACTCCTATATTTCAGTTTCGAAGTACCAAAATAAAGACTAAGGCATTTAATTTTCGGATTATGGGTGGTCTGGAGGAAAAGCTGAAGGAAGGCAAGTTTTTCATGGCTATTCGTGTTTAAATTCGTGCCTGGTAGCCAAAACGCTAAGAACAATTATTTTGTTTAGATCCTATTTTTGTCCACTTTTTATTTTTCTGTAACATCCTAAAAAGTGCTGTGAAAATTATGCGATACTATTGTCTAAAAGTCTCATGATAAGTCTTATGCGCGAAAGAAAAGTTTAATTAACCCTTAATATTTATTTTCAATTTCAATGCGTGACTGTTTTGCTAGGTAAATTGTACACAAATGTCCATGGTTTTGCCATTTCAAATTGGGAATGGGCATTTTATGAAATATTACTTCATATAATATCCATTTATTCAAAGCAGATTGTAATAATTATTTTAGTTGCTGATGACTTCGTTACGGCAGTCTACTCTTCCAAAAAATTAACAAATATATTAGATATATCGTAAAAAATAACACATATCCATTTTTTTAAGTGTTTTTACCCAAATAAATCCAAATAAATATGCAAGTGTGGCATTAAAAAATAATTGATCCAAAGATTTGAATGAGACTGCAATTAATTTGTATATTTGATTCACATATCTATTTTTACCTTTCAAACATCTTTATTGATTTTTTATTATTGATCTTCTTTAATTAATTTAATCTAACAGCCGAAAATTAAGAAAGTGCGAGAAGTAAAAATAAATGTGTGAATAGTAGCACCTATTTGAAATCATACTTTTATAGTACAAATTGTGCTCAACGCCAACAATTTAAACTAACTTACAAGGATGAGTTGTACAACCGAATTGGACAATACTTGGATACTAACAGTTTAGTACGGCAAGTATACTGACTATGACGTGACCCATTAACAAAAATCTATCATTCAAATATATTAAAATTATAAGAGACTTAAGTTTATGAACACGTATTAATCAATAATAAAGGTCATAAAGATGACATAAACAAAATAGCTGCATAAGATCTTGAGCTCTCTTACCTCAGTCTAGAAGTTATGGGAGCTTGGCCCTTGGCACCACCACTTCTTTTAACCGGAAAGGGATCCTCTTTCCACTTAATCCACCTAGTCCGGGATCCGGTCGTTGAAATTTAATCAAACAGTTATAGTTATTATGACTTTTAAAGGGACTTCTTGTTTGTAGCGGTTAGATCAAATTTCAACAGTCCGAATCCTAGACTAGATGGATTAGGTGGAAAAGGATCCGGAGAGGGATCCCGTTCCCTTTTAACCATCTTGAAATTCTCCCGATCCCTTTCCCTTTTAACCATCTTGAAATTCTGGCTCTTCCTCTCAGCCGTATCATTAGTAATTTGTTTAGAAATGTATTGTTAAACTAAGTTAGTTGACAGTGATAGACTTAATTTGGGAAACAAAAAATATTTCTCCATAAAATTCATAAGAGTATGGAAAGCTGAAGGCCAAAAATGTATCAGTCAGTATCATTAATTTGTTTTACAAAGTTGCAACAAGTTATATGAGTTATCCAAACAACATAATTAAACATTCTGTCATTTAAATTCCATCAAATATATAAACTTGCAATTGATGAAAATTTAAATTTCGTCAGTTTAGAATTTCTAGTAATTTATAATTTGTTTGTTTAAACAATAAATATTATTGGGTTGTTTGGAATTGTTTTTAAAATAATTGAAAGTACTTTTAGAGAAAATATTTTTGGATTGCAAAAACACTTAAATGTGTTTCCTAAAAGAAGCATCATCTGTGTTTTTTTAGGAGCATTTTAAGTGTTTTACTAGAATTCAGTTACGTTTTTACTAAAGATTAGTTTAAAAATAATTTCCATAAAAAATACACTGTAAAATTTGTAAAAATACTTCTAAACAAACTAATAATGAATTTCATTTTTCCGCAAAAAGTCCCAAGAATATCATTGGGCCCCATTTAATGACACAGCCCAATGTAGAATAGCTTTAATATGGGAGCATTTTTTCTTACCACCATAACTATGATGTATGCTTATCATACATCTAATCAATTGACATGTATTCTTTCACTTACATCTTGTTAATTTTCACATTAAATATAACATTTTCAATTTAAAAAAAAAAGTTAACCAAGGTTAAGTAAAAAGACACATATCAATTAACTAAATGTATAATGAAGCATAATTTATGATGGTAAACAAAAATGCTTCCACTTTAATATATGGACTAAGATTCTCTTCCCTTCTCCTTTCATCATCTTCTCTCACATTCTTTATTTTGTCTTTCTCTTTCTATAAAAAATTAATATAAAATATTAACGTGACTTAAACGTAACTGTTCAAATAAGAATAAGAGAAATAAAAAGAAATAAAAATCCTACTCCTAAATATATTTATTACCCGTTCAAATGAAAGGCAGAGTTCCAGACGCGAAAGTTTTGTTATGAAAAGCCGAGTTGCTGGCGCGCGAACCAAAAAATTCGATCCGGTCCGGCGAAACAAACAAACAGATGAACCGGAAGGTGAAAGGAAAAGTTCATGTGAAGGTTAGTTACTGGTGCTGATTCTGATTCTGATTTTGATTCTCTATGGGTTGTTTTCTCGTGCAACATCCATGATTATTTTCTGTTGTTGAAAGTTGAAGAATTGAAAGCGATGCTGTACATGCTTGTGTGGATAAGTTCAATTGACCACAAAGCAAAAAGCTTTACCAATAAATTTCCAACTACAACATAGTGTAAGTTGTGAGATTGCTTGAAATAATAGCAGTAACTAGCTGAAATACTAGATTAGATGAGACCGATGTGGCATCTTGGAGGAGGGATAAGCCGAGAGGTGATCGAGATGCTTAGGGTCCTTCCGGGAGTAGAAGAGAAGATGAGTATACTTGTTATCTTCCAAATTTTATGCAAGAATAACATAGCGCTATTGATGATGCAGTCGGCTGTGTTACTGGAGTCTGTTTTTTGATTGGCTTTTCTAAGAATAGTCTCTTGATTATGCAGTTGTATGGAAGCTAATGTTTTGTTTGTTTAATTTTCAGAAAGATATGCCTAGAACAGGTGAAGCTACTTCATCCAATCCCAGGGCTCCATATGATGAGGACGTGGCTAGGGTTTTTCAAGCCATCAAGCAAATGGCTGACCTTGCGCTTGAAGGCACTTCTGCAGTAAATCGGAGGCTGAAATTTTTGAAGGTTTTCATTAGTCTGTCACCCCCGCAGTATGCAGGAAATCCTGATGAACCTTTAGAAGGGGTGGAGTGGTTCGAAAGGATAAAGCAATGTTTTGATGTAAGTGATGTCCCCGAAGACCTAAAAGTTGGTTTTGCCACCTACTGTCTTATTGGAGCGGCTCACTACTGGTGGGAATTTGTTAAAAGGATCCGTGATGTTAAATCCATCACTTGGGCAGAATTTGAGGAGCTGTTTTTGAATATGTATTATCCTGAAACTGTAAGGGATGCTAAATGCGAAGAATTTCTAGGGTTGACCCAACAAAACATGTCTGTTGCTCAGTATGCATCTAAGTTCCTTGAGCTAGCATGGTATGCACGAACTAATCTTGTGAGCTCAGATGAATTTACAGCATCGCAATTTCTAAGGGGACTGAGGCCTTCCATAAAAGCAAGGGTAACTCAGTTCAGTACTTATGGTGACATGGTGGCAGCTGCTTTAAGAGTGGAACAATCTTTTGAGGACAGCGAGGAAGAGTCATTTGAGGAAGCTTCTGGTGCAGGGGAAAAAAGGCCAAGAAAGGAGTACATTTGCCACCACTGCGGGGAGCCTGGTCATATTCGGCCTAATTGCCCGGAATTAAACTCGCGTGCTTTTTGAAAGTTCTATCAAAATCTCATCCTAATGATGGAAGGCAAAAATGGTTTCAACTCCAAGTTAGTAGTGTATGGATAATGGTTTGTGAGACTTTCAATATGCCTGGCTTTTGTTTTGGTATGTATCCATGTATCTATGCATCTGACTTTTGTTCCTTTGGACCTTTGTGAATAAAGAATCTGTTTTGTAGATGTCAAAGTGTCACTTGCTAGTTGCTAATCAATGGAATCCCAATTATACATACAAGGTTTAAGATCCAAGACATACATTTTGACACATCATTTGTTGGGCTTACATTGTAATGTATTTAAAGATCTAAACCGTTTATATTTTAGTACATCATTCGTAGATGATTCTAACAAAAAATTAGACATCAAAAACCATTAAGACATTTATTTGTAGGGAAGAAAATAGATGAATACAGTTCTACAAAAGAAACACAAAATATAATTCAACGCTCAGATAGTTTTAGATTTGGGTTATTTTTGGTAAACAATGATCTTGGAGGTAAGATATAAAAGACAATTAGATTGTTGAAATACATTACGGAGTGGGCCATACAAAAACGTGTGTCAAAAGCGTGTTCCTGAATCTTAACCCTACATATATATATATATATATATATTTGACAAACGATGAGAAATTGACACTAAAGTCATGTGTAAACTACGAGAGGAGGATTCGAACTTTGTTGCAAAGACTGCTTGCTATTGTATTAAGATAGAATGTTTGACCCCTTGAACTTTATTGCAGTTGAAATTAACCCTCTGAACTATTTATTTGGTAATCTAACCCCCTCAACTATCAATCAATTAACCTCTTGTCTCTAGATTTCGTCCACTATTCCATCAAATTCAAGGGAAATTAGTCTTTTTATCATGAATTCCTCCATGATAGGGTTGATAGGGGTGGGGAATGGGTGGTTGGTCATTCGGGATTTTCGTTTTGTTTTATTTATTATAATTAAAAAGTTTTCTTATTATGTTATAAGTTCTTTTTATTATTCTGTTTCCACGTGTCATAATTTTATTGGGGGTTACAAATGACAAGGAAGAATTCATGATGCTAATTTGTCCTTGAATTTGACGGAATAGTGAATCAAATCTAACAATAAGGATTAACTAGCTGATTTTAAACAGTTTAGGGATTAATTTATCAAAAAAATAATTCAAGGATCAATTTTAAATGAGACAATAGTTTAGAAGGTCAAACCGTAGTTTACCCATTATATTAATCGCTTCGTTTTGATTACTTAGAAAGCCCTTGTCTTTTTTTTTTTTTTTTAACCCACATTTGAGTAACATACATGAACCAGAAAGTTTGGTGATTAGTGTTACAGCTTAAAGAAAGCACAAAATTGTGTCCAAAAGATAGAGACAACATGAAAGGACCAATTTCAGTGATTAGGTTTTGGCGGTGAGAATTTCATAAAACAGTTCCTGATGATATATGTGCGAGTATTCAATTCCATGTCGTATGAAAGACAAGAAAACAATGTAAGCATTTACCATTTGTGGCTCGCAAGGCTTGTTTCCGTCCTAGTAAAGGTCTACATTGCGTTCTTGTCTTTCATAAAATGTGGAATTGGTCACTCGCAAATGTTAAAGGCCTATCTCGGGCGAACTTCACAAACTGCGGGACCCGTGATATTTTGTACCGTCAAAAAGGATCAACTCAAGCTTCATGCTGTTGTAAATTTTATTTTGGTTTATGATGGAGGAAAATAATTGAAATTTTATTGAGGTCATATGATGATTTGGACATCGCACAATGAAAGTCAAGGTGATTTACGAGTTGGTAGTATTTTTTGGGATTGGTTGTTTAGAAAGGATCATTTTCGGATCTACTTTATGGGAATCCTAGAGATCTTCACATTCTAATCATTTATCCCATATTATATGTTTGGTTTTCATTAGATACTATTTGAATTTAATTTTAAATAAAAAAATCAAATAATTTCTAATTATAAAATACAAAATGAATGATCAAGATGTAAAAATCGCTAGGATCTCCATAAAATGTGCCAGGATGGATCCAATTCCTGGTTTTTTGAGCTCGAGTGGCAGTTTTCAAATTCAACGGATGACTGCGCCACGTGGCATCCGAGGAGTGGCTGATCTTACCACACTGTCTAAGATTTTCTCATTGTCCTGCCACATGGCCATCTACCATTGGATAACTTAAGTGAAGCGGAGAGCGGCAAAAGCGCGGGATAACATCCCTGCTTGCTCTTCGTCTTCGATGACAGAAGCACGAGCAGAAAAAAGAGAAACAGAGAAAGAAAAAACTTTCCTGCAATCTCTCAAAATTCGTAACTTTCATTCCGGAAGTCCGATTGAAAAACAGTGAATCGAACCCAACGAGCGTTCTGAGGTAAATTTTGAGGATTATTACTTAGATTTCAGTCATTCGTTCAGTTTGGGATTTTTGACTAATTAAGCTCAAATCTTCGATTTCAAGCTTTTTCTTGCCCAATTTGACTTCTTGGAGCTTAACTGAAGGCTAGTGAACGAATTCTGAGACAAGAAGGTAAAGAAATTTGTACGATCGGTTCAGACGGCTGGAATAATTCTACAAATTTGATATGGTGGTTGGTTGGTTAGTTAGTTACTGGTGGAAGTTCATTCTGATTCTGTTTTTTTTTTTTTTTTTTTTTTCTGGGTTTTCTCTTCTGCAACTTGGTTTGTTGTTTTCTGTTGTTGAAAGATGAAGAATTTGTAGCGATGGTATGCATGCATGCATGGGTGTGGTGTGTATAAGTGCAATTTAGCTGAAAAAAAAAGCTTGACCTATAAATTTCATCTACTAACTTAATGTAAGATGTGAGATTAATTAATTACAGTAACCACTGGTAGATTAACCAAAGGGAAAGCCTCAGGGATTGATACAATTGTTTATTTTATTCAAGAATGATTAGGTTTCGCTGCATAGTACTACAGTCTAATGATATTCGTCTCTACTGGTAAGTGCTATGTCTTAAGTTCGACTCATAAGTACCAAATTACTATGGCTAAGCCCATTGGGTGGCTTATCTCAAATCCTCAACCCTTTGTGTAATTTATCGTTGTGGTAAAATAAAGAATGATCGCCTCATTGCTCTCTTCATGTTCTCTTGTGATGTTCACCTCATCATATTAATTCAAGTAATTTTCTCTTAAACTTAATGACTGTTATAACATATTACCTCAATAAACAGACCACATTTGTGAACACAATCAAGAGTAAGCCAGAATGTGCATCTTAGGGTCCTTCCCGGAGTGAAGAGAATATGGCTGTACTTGCTATCTGCCGAGACTTTTAATTAAAATAAACATAGAATTTTTCATTGCCTTTAATTATCCTGATGTTCAGACTGATTGGCTTAAAAAATTTATGGAGTGAACGCCTCTAGTCGTTTCCCTTTCTCTGTACTTATAGAATGATGATTTTTTCTAGTAATTTAGCATTGCTTGTGTTCACTGATTGTAGTTTTTTGGGAGTTGTAGCAAGTACGATGATGTTTGTTAGGCGTTTTTGTTGTCAAACTCAGATTGATGATGTATTCTGCAGCGTTACTTGAGTCTGCTTTCTGATTTGCTATTCTAAGAAAAACCAAAGAAAAAGTGTACTGTGTTTCATCTCTAGAGAATGCATTATAAATGATTAATATTCTTACAGCTATGCCATTCGTTGGTGAATACTGTGATGATAGTGATGGTGTATTTAAGCTTTAGCTTTAGATTCGAGTTGTATGTAATCTTGTTTGGTATTTCTGAAGTTGGTAGATTTCAGCGGCATGATGGGTAATTGCTCAGGTGGATGGTACGCTGTTGGCTACACTTTGAATAATCTCTTGATTACGCACTTGTATGGAAGCTAATGTTTTGTTTGTTTAAATTTCAGAAAGATATGCCTAGAACAGGTGACGCTACTTCATTCAATCCCAGGGCTCCGCATGATGAGGACATGGCTAAGGTTTTGCAAGCCATCAAGCAAATGGCTAGCCTTGCGCTTGAGGGCACATCCGGAATTGATCAGAGGCTGAAATTTTTGAAGGTTTTCATTAGTCTGTCACCCCCACAGTATGCAGGAAATCCTGATGAACCGTTAGAAGGGGTGGAGTGGCTCGAAAGGATAAAGCAATGTTTTGATGTAAGTGACGTCCCCGAAGACCTAAAAGTTGGGTTTGCCACATACTGTCTTGTTGGAGCGGCTCACTACTGGTGGGAATTTGTTAAAAGGATCCGTGATGTTAAATCCGTCACTTGGGCAGAATTTGAGGAGCTGTTTTTGAATATGTATTTTCCTGAAACTATAAGGAATGCTAAATGCGAAGAATTTCTAAGGTTGACCCAAGGAAACATGACCGTTGCTCAGTTCGAATCTAAATTCCTTCAGCTGTCACGACATGCACCCCATCTTGTGCGTACAGATGAACAGAGGGCAGAAAAGTTTCTAATGGGACTGAGGCCTTCCATAGGATCAAAGGTAGCTGTAATACCGCATGATACTTATCTTAAGGTGAGGGCAGCGGCTTTGTTAGTGGAAAGATCTTTTGACATTCTGGCAGAGCAAGAGTCGTTTGAGGGAGCTTCTAGTGCAGGGGAGAAAAGGCCAAGAAAGCAGTACATTTGCCACCACTGTGGCGAGCCTGGTCATATCCGGCCAAATTGCCCTGAATTTCAGCCTCCTTCCCCTTCCTATCCCTACTGAAGGCACTTAAACTCGCGTGCTTTCGGAAAGTTTTATCAGAATCTCATCCTAATAATGGAAGGCACGAATGGTTGCAACACCAAGTGAATAATGTGTGTGTAATAGTTTGTAAGACTTTCAATATGTCTTGCCCTTGTTTTGGTACGGAACCGTCCTTCCGACTCTTGTTCCATTTGATCTTTGTGGATAGGGAATCTGTTTTGCAAGTGTCACTTGCTAGTATGATCTATGACAAACGATTGGAAAGTTACTCTAAATTGTGGGAGGGGGATTCGAACTTTGGTGCTAAGGGTGGAAGCACACTACTTGCTCTAGCCAACTTGACTAAACCTAGTTCCATAGAATCCCAATATTATATTATCACTATGGTTTGATCACCTTCTTTGAAAGCCATTGCTTTTAACCCCACATTCGAGTAACATACGCGAAGCAGGTTCCTTATCTTGTAAAGTTGGGTGATTTGTGTTATTGCTTAAAGAAAGCACCACAAAACTGTGTCCAAAAGACAGAGAGATAACGTCAAAGGACCAATTCAATGAAACAAATTATTTTCAATCAAGTGCCGCATTTGCGGTGAGATTTCCATAAAACCAGTTTCTAAGATATATGCGCGAGTTATCAGTTACATGCAATATGGAAGAAAAGAAGACAATACATGCATTTACCATTTTGCGGTTTGCAAGGCTTGCTTCCGCATGGTCGAACTTCACAAACAAAAAGGGCAACCCGGGCCAACAAGGTTCCCCACTTTGTGAGGTCTGAAGGGTGGCGTCTATCGCACACAGCTTACCCTTGTTTTGCAAAGAGACTGTTTCCACGACTTAAACACCAATCGGCCACAAAAAGAGCAACTGCAGAATCATTACACAACAGTCAATATGAACATAAAATAAACTGGAGCCAAGTCGCTGCTGTGAGACCTGCGCCATAAAAAAACTACTCCTATGGGTATGTGAGATCCATTTGTTTTTGGCCTAATCAATAAATCAGAACAAACAATTTGAGATAATGTCAATCTTTACACATGAAAAAAAAAAAAAAAAAATCACCAATGCAATCAGCAAACATAGTTTGCAATAAAATACGGATAATTTATAATTAATATGCCTCGATCATCAATAACTTTCTCAACACCCATTGACTAAGCACAACAACAATAAAGCCTAACAATAAAGCCTTATCCCACTAAGTAGGATCGGCCGTATGAATCCAGCTGTATGAATCCTAAAACCCATTGAATAAGCAATATAAAAAATTGCTGAACTACAGGTTTGTTTCAATGCCAGCTTGAATCATGAAAACAACCAAAATAATTAATCTGAAACTGCCTTAATTCGATTCAATAGAACAACAACAACAACCAAGCGTTATCTTACAGATGTACGAATACTAGAGGATGTATAAGTACTAGAACGCTATTAAGCTCGATTCAATCATCAATAAATTTCTCAACAAGCATTGAATAATCATTATCAGCAACTGGTAAATTGCAGTTCTGTCTCAAGAGCAGGGCTGAAAAAATGCCAACTTGAATCATGAAAAGCGCCAAAATAATCATCAGAAACTGTCTTAATTCCGAACTCATCTGTGAATTTTCGAGCAGCCAAGATATGCGTCGTCGAGTCGACAATGGACGAGTTCTTAAACTCCGACAGGTGCTGCTCGTACGTCTCAAAGCTATTCCCAAACAATACGATGCAATTCAACAGCCGCACTTCCCAATTCGCCTGCAGAAGATTATCGTACAACTCTGCCTCGCAATGCGGCATGAAGAACATCATCGGCTTTTGAGCCCGACGCCGGCCTTGCTCGTTTACAGACAGCACAGAGCAGCCAAGAGCTTCCAGAACTCGAGTTTCGGTGGCAGAAAGAACGGGATCAAACACCTCTATATCTCCAATCCAGCTGACATTTCTCTTCAGCAAGATCGCAAGGCTCAACTGCAACCGAGGCGAATCGTAGCTCTCGAGGCTGCCAATTCCGTATATCACCATGTTCATTTTCGACTCAGAGCTCAGAACCTTGAGGAAGCAATTGGTCAATTCCGGGTTCGGATTTGATCCAGTAAAGTGAGAAAGAAGCGAGACGTCTCCAATTTCTTCATGTAGATCTGCATCTTCTGCATCAGCTTTGATTCTCGGGCAAAGTTGATTTCGGAATCGGTTGGAGCCCAAGGATGGTGGTGGTGGTGCTGCTGCTGCTGCTTCGGAGCTAGGGTTTGCGTTCTGGGCGAGTTTCTTCTCTTGATGCCACGACGAGATGAAACGACTGTCCACTGTTCGTTTACAGTATGATTTTCAGCAGTGAGAGTCTTTGCAGAAGCAGCCATTGCAATTCGAGAATAATTCACTTTGTGTCCAGGAATGCAATGCGCAATACAGAGCTTCACAATTTGCACAGAGACAACACAAGTTCAAGTGGTGGTAAATGAGTGTAGTAGTTTGATATATACGAGGATTAGCCGCCGGCCTCATGTTACGTTTAACTTTAATGATTCGAATTGTTTATTTTTAATTTACATCTTATATACTATTATTACAAAATATTAGTAAATAGAAAATATATGAGATATCTAATTAAATTTAAAGAAATTAATAAATATTTTGTTCTATAGAAACAAAGAACAATTATCGTGATAATTAAATAGACAAATAGTTTCAGGTTGAATTGAATTTTTATAAAGATAATCTATGACTTGAGAGTTACAAAATAAACGGTTCAGATTATTGAAGCTCAGTGTGAGGTGGGTCCCACAACTCAAAAAATGAGAATCCCTTGCATAAAGGGCTTGTATATAAAATGGACAAAGATTGTCTGCCCTCCCACTTCCTGTACCCTCCAATGTCCTCCTATTTTATGTGGTCACGGTTAAGTCACGTCAACATTTTATATTGTTTTTTATAGAGATAATAAGACAAAAATGAATAGTAATATAAAATGTTGACATGACTTAACTGTGACCATACAAACAGAAGGGCACGAGAGGGCATCAGAAGTGGGAGGACAGACAATCCTTGTTCATATAAAATATATACACTTAATATGCATTACAATAGCTTCAGTAGTGTAATTTCACTCTTGATGTTCCGACGCTTATAAAGTGTATTCGATCTCTTTATTTTTAATAAAAATAGGGTCTATAAATATATATATATATATATCTTATTTTTATTAGCTAGAGGATATAAATATATGATAAAACCAGCATTTTTGTTTTATAAGTCTCAATGAGCCCTAAATAAAATCCAAGCCTCTTAATTCTCTTCGTCATCTTATTAAATGGTCGAAAGAAATCCAATATTTAGGTTTTGGCCTTGCGGATTATTTTTTATTATTTAAATACGCCAATCCATGTGCGTGCGTAGCACACGAGTCGCAGTAACTAACGTTTAAAGTGCACGAGTGAATTCTTTGGGTCCAAACGAGCGACAGCCGGAAAGGCAGGAGGGGAGAGGAGACTGGACACAGAAAGAGCAGGAGAGGGGCGTCGAAACTAGAGAGATCGAGCGAGCGAAAGCTGGCCCTTGATCTGAAGCTTAGGATCTGCAGAGGTAAGCCTTTTGCTTTTCTTCCTCTTCTTCCTCCGGATTTATGGTGCCTGCTGGGAATTCCTGATTGCTGGAATTTCTAATTTTGTGAAACTCCTTTTGGAAAATCAAACTTCCCAATCAAATTATGCTAGCCGTTTTCTCAAATTTCAATCCCCAGTTTCCGTGGAATTGAAATTCAACCCATTGTTTTTGTGACTGAGAGGCTTACTATTCCTCCATATGTGTGATTCACTATGGGAAAATTACGATTATGTGACTAGTTTTATCAATCATAGATTACAAATTTTGGTTTTGATTTTGTTCAGGTCTGCATTGTGTTATTTTGAAGTTCTTTTTGATTGTTTTAGTTGGTTCGATTAGAGTTTAGGATTACCTTCTAGGTAATTTGTATTTTCAATTATGATCTTTGTGGTGCCTATGTACAAGGGTAAGTCGTGCTTCGGTCATCTAACATTTTGATTGCTCAAGATTTGGTTGAATGGTATTTATCTGTCGAGGGTGTCATGTGTTAAGAGAAATTGGGACTTTCTGGAAAGGATTTTGGTTATTCCGGTTATGACTTGTGAAAAGGAGGCCAACAAGGTCAAAGTCATGGGAATTGTAGGTTATTGGTTCATCATGGGTATAACTGTGTGTCTGTTTGTGCATTATATACAGGAAAGATATTCAAATTCTGCACGATATCGTCATCAAGAGCTTTCTTGGGTTTTGCTTGCATGCAAGAAAGAAATGGATCACGGTCGCTATGGTCATCAGCAAAGATGGGATAATAACAGCGTAATTGTGGTTTCCTCCTTAATAAATCACCTATATGGGATGAATGATGATAAATACAAGAATTTATTAGGGCCCATTCTGAATATCCATTTTTTTGGGAGAAAAATGGGAGAAAGCCGTGGGGGCAATGTGGATATGGACTGACTGGTAACCTCATATCATCATTGATCTCTTGCTGACATTACCTTATTCTCTTGAATCCACAGGCTCTGGAGGGGTATGGTGCAGTCCATGAGCCAAACTTTCGGTGAGTGCTACTAAATGTTGCTTCTCATTTTCACTACGGTTGCTACTTAAGTTTGTATGTGTTGTAGATTGAGATTTACATTTTTGTTTTACTTTTAAACTTCATAAATGATTGTGGAATGGTATGTATTCTTTAATTTTGTCATATATCTTTTTAGTTGTATTGTATTACATTATTTCTTTTCCTTTCATCCCATTATATTTTTTTTGGTAGGGTCAGTGGTTCATATGATGAGAGGAGGTTTATAGATGAAAGATACTCAGGGGACAACATCTACCCAAGAAACTCTTTTCACCGTGATGTTCTAGATAGGGATAACTATCCACTGCCACCTCCTCATGCTGTTGGTGTCTGGCCACACTCAAGAAGGAGAAGTTATGAGGAAGATCTTCCAATTGAGAGGGAAACCAGGCGACATGAGAAGCAATACATGGATTCATATCACGAGATGGATAACTTTCTTGATCGTGACAGTGATACGTTTCAGGATTTTGATAAATTTCGGGATAGCTATCGCAAGTGTCAACTATCGTGATCCTGGGTTTGACAGGATTGCTCGGTTTGGTGGACGTGATCGTGATGATTATGCTTATGATGATTTTGACTCTAGGCCCCGTGCTACCCATCAGAACAGGGAGGATAGTCGTGAAAGGGATTATGACTATGGTCGATACAGTTATGATTCTGATTATGACGGAAGTAGTAGGAGAGATGGCAATTGGAGGCGTCGGGGATCTCGTGAATCTCGTGACCGAGAGCATGACAAGAAATGTGTGAGTAGGGAGACAGAACAGAGTCCACATAGAAGGCATGAGCAGTCCCGTTCTCGGTCCATTTCTCGTGGGCATGATGATCGCCCTAGATCAAGGTCCCCTAGAAGTCGAAGCCATGGGCGAAGTCATCGAGAGGACAGCTATGATGATGGACGGTATGAGGGAACTGATAAGCGAAGGGATCGTGATGAGAAACGCCATAGAGAACATTATTCTGTGGTATATTTTTATGTCCATTTTTTGTGTTCTAATTTCCTTTGGGTTTACATGCCTGATAACTTCATAAGTATGATATTGTTTTGTAGGCCCCATCTGCAACTATTGTTGTGAAGGGTCTTTCCCAGAAGACAAATGAGGAAGATTTATACCAGATCCTTGTAATATTCATCTTGATGTTTTTTTGTTTTTTGTGAATACTATTCTTTTACTTCTATCTTCTTTTTTAATAGCATTGCAATTTGTGTCTCTACCAGGCTGAATGGGGACCCCTTCGACATGTCCGTGTGATCAAAGAACGTAATTCTGGCACTTCTCGTGGTTTTGCGTTTATTGATTTTCCTTCTGTGGTATGTATCATTCTTTATATTTAACTATTTTACATTTGATTTAAACGAATAATTCAAAATGGAGTTTATGTTTGTTAAATAGGGAGCAGCACGCGCTATGATGGACAACATTGGGGATGAAGGGCTTGTGGTCGATGACAGGAAGCTTTTTTTCGAGTATAGGTGATTTTTCTCCCACACTCCTGATTCATATATTGTTGTGATATACTATTTTGTAATGAGTATTATAGTAATGGTAGTGCTGTGTTAGTATCTTTACCTTCTCACACTGAGGAATTAACATGGAGCACAAAATGGTCTGATCCGAATAAATTTTAATGTAACCTTAAACAAATAAAACCGACATTTTGGCCAGTGCTGTGCTAATATCTTTACCTCCTGCCAATGTTATGTATATAGTATATCTTTATGTATACTTTGTGTTAATATCTTCTCTCCCTCGTCCTTAAGTTCTCTTTCTTCCCCCTTTTTGGTTGGAAGTAGGAATCCACTAGAAAGTTTTAAGCAGCCATGTATACCTCCTGTTGGTATCATAGAAACACATAATTCTCTTGGTATGCTCACCAATAGGGTTGGGGAGCACCGGTGCAGTAGTTGGGTTCGTAGTTCTTCAAGGTTAAAATCATTTTACACGAACTTTGATCATAGTGAGGAAAAAGCAGTGAGATGAGGTATTCTGGTAGTAGGTTGGAAATATAATAAAGGTGAAGAAGATTGCATAACTAATGTAAAGAAAAACTGACATCTGATATGATGTGCAGATACTAATATCTCAAAAAATGAAGGGTTTATTCTTTGTGTCAGATGTATCCTCAGCCGTTGGATGATAGAACATCTAAGGGCTGAAATTGTGTAGTTTTATTTGTGTACTAGGAACCCATTTATTTTTCTGCAAGTATACTAATTTGGATTTTCAATTGTTGTTGCAGTAGTAAGCCAACTGGGGGTGCAGGTGGATCATTTGTTCAGGAGAATTCCATTAAATTAGGCCATAATACCCATAAAAGCACCACAATGCCATCTGATTGGATGTGCATAAGTTGTGAATATGTTAATTTTGCACGGCGCACTTCCTGTTTTCAGGTATGCCTTTTTTTATTGTTAGAACATGGGCATTCCCATGGTTATGTTTTGATCTAATTCTTAAACCTTTCAAAGTCTTCATTGTGTTATAAATAAATTTGTAGTGGCACTCTGACAATGATTGTGGTAACTGCTAAATGCATACCATCAAGCAATTTTGGGAATAACAGTCGGACTTATATGGAGATAGTCCATAATTTTATATGTTTTAAGGTGGTTGTGTCAAATATCTGTGCATGCTCGCTGCTTTTTCAGCTGCTTTTATGGTATTTTGTTATTGTATACAGGCTGAGTTACTTAGATTTTCAGTTATTCTAGGCTTGGGTACAGTGATTTGAGAATGAAATCTTTTTGTATCCAATAAAATATAAAATGAGTGTAATGGAAATATTTTTTCGTTATCTCATTTTTCTGTTTATTATTTCAGAAAAGA